CGTTGATTCAATGTTATTTGGGGTATTTAATAATTTTGTTTATCAAAAAAAAGAGCTAAGGCTTGTATAGGCTTTTATCATGAATTTTTATGAGACCCAAATCTGACTAAGAAATTTACGCTATTGAATTGTGTGCGGAGATATGGGTAGAATCCAACCTCATACACAAGTCAATAAAAATTTTCTTGGACAGTCAAGCGGCGTTGAAAGCTCTTGGCTCCTACCGAGCAACGTCTAAATTGGTAGCGAATTGCCGAAAACGACTCTCCTCAATAGGTAGACTTAACAGATTGCCTCTGGTCTGGATTCCTGGCCATACTGGCCTGGAAGGCAATGAGGCTGTTGACTCCCTTGCAAAGGAGGGTGCTGCAAGCAGCTTCATCGGACTAGAACCTGTCATTGGCATCACTTTAGGCTTTGCCAAACAAACGTTGAACACCTGGATGACAAGAAGATTTATGGACTTCTGGCAGAATCTTCCAGGATTGGCTCACTTCAAGGCGTTTATTCACCCTTCTAAACTTGATACCAAACAGTTGTTGGACTACAGTAGGGATGAACTACGATGTCTAACAGGCCCTCTTACAGGTCAGTGTCATTTGAATCATCATATGCAGAGACTCGGACTGTCGGAAGACAGTGTGTGTGTGTGTTACCTCTGTTTGGAAAATGATGAAACAGCGGAGCACATACTTTGTGCCTACCCCGCTGGGGACCGAATCAGGTTTTTAGAGTTCGGCAGAGCCGTACTTTTATCATCTGACCTGAAAGATCACTCACCATACAAACTAATTGGCTTCGTTAAGAAGCTGGGTTTATTTGGTCGAGTGTGAATAGGTGTGAGCCACAATAAACACTTGCGGGTTGCGGTGGAGACTCAGATAGACCCACTCACTTTGGACCTAACCTAACCTAACATAACATAAAAAGCTAATGTTTACTGAGAAATTTTAAATAAAGTTAAAGCTCGATTTTTCGAATTCTGAAGATGGAGAACCAGAACCTACGGTGCGGTAGTTGGGAGAGATGAATATTTTGAGATTTCATCTCGAAACATTTATTTTTCTTATACGTTTGTCACTCTCCTCGATATAGTCTTCAGAAACGGTTTGATCTCTGTTAAAGTGAATTATATCGGTTCGGACTTCCATTGTCCAATATGATTCTAATGTGATTAGAAATCTATGAAAGAACAAATGAAATTAAAATGTATAGCTGAAAATATCAATTATATTAAGCAATTACTATATCGGTGAAACTAGGAGACCATTGAAAGTCCACATTGCCGAGCACAAGAGAAACACACAGCGAGGAGAAACCATCGATTCGGGAATAGCAGAGCATGTTTGGACTCATCAACATTTTATCAAGTGGTCCCAAACTGATAACATCTACAGAGAAAAACGCTGGTTTAAGAGAAAGTTCAAAGAAGCTGCATATATGTTGTCCAACAATGTATTCATCCAAGCTAGCATAGAGATTCGCAACAAATGAAAACTTGTAATCAAGCGAAAAAACGGCCCACTCCTGTTAAACTGGTGAAGAGGAGAGAGGAAATAAACAACTCAAATTAAAAAAAAAGAGAAGATAGGTGAAAGCGTTTGAATGACCTATAAATAGTCATATCTCGGAGGAATAGTCCAGTCAATACCCGAAGACGATTGTGGATACTTACACTCGAAATGTTTCAAATTTCATTTTTGATTGTTGAATTTTTAATTTTTTGCTATTTTTATTTTCACGTTCCATTGCTTAATATAATTCAAATCATCTAAAAGAACATTTCGTTCAGGCCAGTCTCAATTCCCTACAATGTAGGTTAATGGACTGACACCTATCAGAAAACATTTACTCGCCTGGCTAATACCACGAAGGGCGTTGGATCATATCCGACAGGTGTCAGTGCAGGATTCTTCACTGAAGTTATTCCTGCCTATGCCCTAAGCCGTTGGCGATACAACTGCCGCAATAGATTTTCAATCATTGGAACACACTTGCAGACCGGTTTCGGGCTGTTTGAGCCCTCGTCAGTGCAAGGAAGTATCTATCATCAACATAGAGTCGATGATTTCCGATAATTGAAAATCTAATTCCTTCAGAGCATCATTCCTCGAACTAGGTTGAAGCGGACAACGAACAATCGGTTTGTCATGGCCCCATCTGCCTGTGAACGAGGTAACCAACCGCATATCCGAAATTTGCCCAATTCCTCGTTTAAGGAAAGAAAACTTTATTTTCAGCTATTCATTTCAATTGTATTTGTTCTGTCAGACATTTGAAATCATATTAGAATAATTTTAAACAATGGAACTCCGAACTAGTGAAATTCACCATGAAACATTGTCAACCACTTTCAAAAAACCTGTTAGAGTATTGGTCCAAAGGATGTTTTTTCCGCTTGGGACATTGCTAACGGGATGGAGCTGTTACTAGTTAACAATCTTTATCTTGGACGAAGGTGTCATACATGCAAATGAGCCGCGTTGGAATTATTCGAGTTCTTAGCACTTTGCTGTTTGGGTCGGATCATTCCTGCACTGATGAGAAATCTGGCATGAAAATATGTCGAATGTAACTCAATAGCCGATGTGGTATTAGCCGGAGAAGTAGTTGTTTTCCGGCAGGCATTCACCAGAACCTACTATGTAGGTAGTTGGGAGAGATTTCGAAATTTCATCTCGAAATATTTATTTTCTTATTTCGATAAATATCTGCCTATCATGATAGGCAAAATTTTAAAATACAAATTACCAATTATTTGTACAAAATAGTCTGTAACTTGTCGGGGTGATCTAGAAGTTTGCCCGATCTATTCCTTTATGAGGTTTTTTATTACGATTTTCATTATTTTGTATTGTGAAAACTTACAGAAAAATCGACAAAAAACCTATTTTTCCTTCACAAAAATGATTTTTTTTAAGATTGCCAGTGGTGACTCGAAATAATTTACTACGGATTTGCTGATCCATATTTTGATTGATATGTATATTTGTGTGAAAGCTTTTTTCCGGTTTTTTTGACCGTGGTGTACAGGTTTTTATGCCTGCCATTTTGTCTACTACTGCGGTAGATATTGTCAAAGGCAATGTGGTAACGGTCGCAGTGCCCGAATCGGTGCTAGAGTTGTTTTCAACGCTGAAACTGATGCTGGTATTTGACTCTGGCTTCACACTATTATTGGNCCATCCAAAAATTATATCAAATACAGCGACTGGCTTGTTTAAACATCACAGGAGCCATAAGAACAACACCAACTGCGGCAATGGAATTAATTACTGGTCTGTCCCTTCTGGACCTGTACGTTAAGGAGGTTGCGTTAATTGCCATGTTACGATTGCGCATGACTGGTGTAAACCTCGAAGTAGGCGAGAAGCGCTTACTACGAACCTGCAGGCATCAAGTGATGCAACCCAGGTTTGTGTTTAATAAACCCTACAAAATACAAATGAAACAGAAAAAAGAATCAAAAACCAAAGAAGGATGTAGAGTTTACTTCAGATCACTAAGCCTAATGATTAAGTGGGGAATGGGAAATACCAGCGTGGTTCAAACAGAACTGGCTGGTTTCTCAATTTCTACAAAAGAAATAACCAGGAAAGAAATTTCTGATAAAAACATAACAATCTGCACTGATAGTAGACAAGCCATATTAGCCTTAAACACACAACGTGTTATCTCAGAGCTAGTACTAGAGTGCCACCAAGATGCCACCAAGATAATAACATTATCCTGAGGTGGGTAAAAGGGCACGGCTGGACTGAAAATTTTAGGACCCAGTGACACCTACGGCCTGATGACTTCGACAATTGCGGAACTAGCCAAACGTCACACCCATGCTGAATCCCTAAAGAGATGGAATGGAATCAAAGGATGCAGTAGGATTTGTGACAGGCAACTGTCAACTAAGGAAACGCCACCATGTTATGGGGCTAGTGGACAGGCATGTCTTATGCGAGTATCCGGAGTTATCGTCAATAAGAGAGTGTCGGCGAGTCACTCACAATCAATTTTGAAAAAACAAAACTTCTACCCTTTGCAAGTTACGAAAATCAACTACCCAACTATAATGGATTAATAATAAATAACCACGGAAAAAAATAGAAGTCCTAAGAACAGACCATATTAAATACCTGGGAGTCACAATTGATTCACATCTCAGATGGAATATATTTTTAGATATTAAAAACAATTAGTGGACATAACACTCCAAAAAGGCCAGAAACACGTGTCCGCGGTTTGCCCCCATTTTTGGAGTGTTATGTCCACTAATTGTTTCATTTTTGATTTGTACATCATACACACACGCAGGTAGCTATAGCTATAGCTATAGCTCTAGCTGATTCGAGCGTAGAGAGGACATCATTCCACCAAGGACTCCAATAATTAATCAGAACAACCATTTTGACAGAGTGATCTGGATAGAGTCTGCGGAGTTCGAAGAGAGTGATTATTATTAATAATGTTTAGCATATTCTTCAGATTAACGAGTATATAAAAGCTTTCATTCGATATCTTACAAACGAAATTTATCTGTTCTCCTAGTGAGAAGTTGCAGAGTTGTGACGAAATAGACGTTTTCAAAACAACATCTTCAAACTCATATACGTAGTTCGTTGCAGGACTATTCTTTGTGTGATATTCTATTACTACAGTTTTGCTGTCATTACAGATCAACATATTTTCAGAACAGTAATTTGAGGAGTCATTCAGCACCACAATGGTGCTGTCGTCTGCATACAAAAAGGTTCTACCACTGCGAATATACTCAGGAAGGTCATTCACATATGTGAATGACCTAGAACACTTCATTTGGGAGTTCCAAGCTCAGGAGAATATTCGTCTGATTCTCTAGGTAGGACCTTATCCATCTATTTATTTGACCACGTAATCCAAGTAAGGAAGCGCCTAATGAAAGACCCTATAGTACATGGAACATGATTGTTGAGTGTCATGAAAAGACACAAGAGGTGTCAGAAATAAATTGGAGAATCAGACAGCTCTCAAGTAGCAAAAAACTCAGGTATTACCTCCGCTCCGCCTAATCCCTGATTGTGCTCAAATCCACCCTGTCTTTCCCAGAGCATCACCACCAAGCTACGACCGAGAACGTCGCAAGCTTGGTACTTGAGAGTCTGTCGGAACTGAGGCTCGCAGCAGTGCTTCACGACGCGCGTCTTCTTCTTCTGCAACCATCGGTCACCGTCGCGCAGGTAACACTTCACATAAGTGTCTGGAGGGGTTTCTCTCGGAGGTATGTGCCTCACGCATACGACTTCCACTTCCAGCTGGCCCTTGGTCATCAACAGACCCAGCTTGATTTCCACAGGGCGGGTGCTGGAGAGTCGAAAACCTCGAGGTTTGATTTGGCCGGGGCCAAGTTGGGGCGGGGATGTGCGTTCAGGACTAGAAGGGGGGCTATTCTCTTTAGCTGTTTCTGCGATTTCCATTACGCTGTCTTTACGAGTGTCCCTGTTGGAGGCTCCACTAGTAGATCCTGGAGAAAACGGAAGAAAACATTATTTATGCACTTCATCTTCTTGACTTTGATAAAGAAACTAGTTAAAAATTAAAGTTAATCTAGTACTATGTACTAGTACTATGTACTAGATTAACTTTAATTTCAGATCAAAGAAGGTAGTAGGATTTTATTCTGGGACAGGGAGTGTACCCAGAAGCAATTAATGATGGTTGGCAAAAATTATGTTTTGAATAAATTATGTGAAAACTGATTCTGTATTTTTCTAATTACTTTTTAATTTCAACTTTTGTAGTTTTCAATTGTCCATTGTGTTTTGCACCAGAATTTAACTCAAAATCACTGATTCATTCAAACCAATTTTCATTTTATTCTTCTGGCAAGAGAAATCCTGTTTGAAATTGACATGATTGGTTTATTGTTTTCGGAACACCCGTGATCTGATTTTTAAATCTACTATTTCTTTAATCTTTATGAATCTGCTTGAATCTATAATTGCTTCGAAAAATATCGCCCTTCACAAGAAAAATCTTACGCTAATAACATAAATGAATTTTATCAGTTTCGGGAAAGAGAGAGCATTTTGCGTTTGTTTTCATGCATGGAATAGAAAAGGTATATGCTGTCTATTCGAAAAATAAGGTGAATTTTCATTTTCTTCAAAATAATATCTATCAAGTCATCAATTTGTATTTTGTTCCTTTCAGAGTAGTCTCTCTCAGATATAATACATATTGTGCCAGCATTTTTTCGAATCTTCGAAACAGTTTGGAAAAAGTCGCAGGGAACAAAACTTGGTGAATACGGTGGCTCAGGCATAATTACGAACAAGCAATGACGAGTGAGCAGGTGCATTATCGTGATACAAACGCCATGAAATGTTTTTCCACGATACTGGAAGTTTTCTTCGTATTGCTTCTCGCAAGCGGTGCATAACTTCAAGATATAACTCTTTATCAACCGTAGGACCATTTTACAAGAACTCCTGATGCACTAAGCCATGGTAATCGAAGAAAACAGTGAGCGGAACCTTGACGTTTGGTCGAACTTAGCGTGCTTTGTTTGGTCTTGGCTCTTCTGGGGTCTTTCATTGAGGCGATTGGACTTTGGACCATAAACCCATGATTCATTACCAGTTATGATCATCTTAAGCATATCTGGATCGCCGTTGAGGTCATTCAACAATTCCTAAGCGATGCTCATGCGACGTTTTTGATCAAAATTTAGCAATTTCGGAACGAATTTCGCTACCACACGCTGCAACCGATAAAAAAAATCGATTCATTTCCAACAGGAGTACGCAGTTACACAAAATTCTATTATTAGAAGCCGGCTCTGACCGATATCTCAGCCAGCGAATAAACACATGACTCACCGTGAAAGAATGCAGTCGACAGAAACGCCGGTTAAATTCTAGTTGAGTACCCAAACCACTAGAGAAATCTAGAACGATCGTAACCGATATATTAGGCTCGATTTTCGTCCAGAGATGGATGACACACAAAATACACATACTAGGCATCACTGACACCCTAACAAGGAACCCACCACACTTCACAGGATACCACACACTACACTGACCAAAGGACCAAAACTCTCGCGGGATAGCCATCCTCACCAAGCATGGCATACCACACTCCTTACCCCCCATATCCAATCCCTCGATTGTCTCGCAATCGATCTATACACATCCAACAGCACAACCATAATTACACTCTATAACCATTACCACCAAACACTTCCTAGAGAAATCATGGAATACACCTCATTCCTTCCTAAATCCTTCCTAATAGGCGACCTCAACGCAAGACATACACAATTCGGAGACACCAACACGAACGGAAGACTACTCACCAACTACCTACTAGAACACAACTTATACAGAATCCCATTCCCAGACCAGACGTTCCTGAGCCACCAGGGAGCCTCAGTCATCGACCACATCCTATGTTCAGAAAACCTAATGGAAGCGATGGATGACCAGGCCTACACTGGCGACACAATCACGTCCGACCACCTCCCCCTCTTAGTCAAAACCTTCCTAGACCCCCAAACTCCAATCACCTCTGAATACATCACATACAAAAACTAGAAATACACCGACTTCAAAAAATTCCAAAGCTGGAGTCTCCCAGGGCTCCATACTAGCTCCCATCCTATTCCTAATTTTCGTCCACGACGCACCCACAACCCAAAAAATACTCCAATACGCCGACGATACCATCCTATATTCCTCCGCATCCAACACCCAAAAACTACAGACACAAACACAAAACATGATAAATCACTTCACACAATGGTGCAACAAATGGTGCATCCAGACAATCTCAGACAGACTCAGACAATCCTTTTCCGACACCCAAACACAACTAACCGACCCCGACTTAACCCCGATAACTTGAACCTCAGGCTTCTAGGAGAAAACCTCCAACTCCAAGACTCGGTGACCTACCTAGGCGTGACCTTCACGAGAACCCTCAATTGGGAAACCGACATCAGAGAAACCCTGGACAGAGTCAGGAAAAGAGCAAACCTCCTGAAAGCCTTGAGGGGAAAACTCGGGAGATGCAACAGCCAAACACTAATGCACACATACAAAACATACATACGACCGATAATGGACTATAAAGCAATAATTTACAGCACAATACCAACACGACTGACAAACCGACTACAAGCCACAGAAAGAAGAATACTCCGAAACATACATAACCTACACTACCGATTCCCTTCCAATGAACTATACCAAACAACAAAACTAACCCCAATAAACATTAGATTTCAGGAACTCCGAGGAAAATACACCGAAAGAACTATAAAAAGCAACAACACTGCAGCAAAGGAAACACTGACCACACCCTGGAAACCTTGCGGGGGCGCGAGGAGGATACCAAGGAAGAAACTCGCATTTCCCCCAGCCAGACTACCGGGAGCCCTGGAGGATATATCGGAGAGATTCCAAGACATCCTAGACGAGTTCCCGCTGGCAATCAGATGAAGACCAAACCACAACAGAGGAAGACCCGACCAAAAGCACCGGAACCAGCAACGAAACCCGACAAACAACCAAGAGGACCTACACACAAGGGAAGACCACACAAGACCAACGGACAAACCGGGACACAGGATACAGGACACTACAAACTTAAACACAAACACTAACCCTAATTTTTCTTTATTATATTTATATGAACACCAAACAACACAGCCCCTGAAGAGGCATGAGCCTAAAGCAGGGCACATGAAAATTGTAAATTTATAAAAACATGTAACACACCTAAAGAGACATAATAAACGTATTCATTCATTCATTCCAGAGATGGCCATCTGAATTCAGAAAGCGAATCGAGCGATTAAACACGGAATTCGAATAGTGAAGATAAATTAGGCGTTAGTTGCTAAGTGTTGAATATAAATTAGTTTGTGATAGTGAATATTGTTGGAAATAAATTTGTTTAAGACAGTTAAATTCTTTAATTTGCTACATTATATATAAAATGTTCATATACGTGGAATTTCAAAAGATGAATTAAAAATTGAGTATATAACTCAAAAAGTTACAAATCATACAATGTAGCAGTACTGTCACAAACGTTATTTATCTTGGAGAAAAGAGAAATGAAACTTTCTATGTTTTTTACCACTTTTATTTGTAACTAACGTTACTGCAGTTTCGTGCTATACGGATATTTTCAAACTTATACAATACGTACTTATACTATTAAGGACATTTTCAAACTTAAACAATAAGTATAAGATTGAAAATGTCCGTATAGGACGAAACTGCAGTAACGTTGGTTACAAATAAAAGTGGTAAAAAACATAGAAAGTTTCATTTCTCTTTTTTTCATTATGATTTCCTACCACGTAGTAACGGCTACATTCATCAATTTATTGTTATTTATGTTATTATTGAAAGTGATTGTGGATACATGGAACCAAGGCGTTCAGAGAGTCCAAATGAATATCGCAATGTTCACAGATTTTATTGAAGGTACTGCACATAAAATTCAATGGTGATCGTAGCATAACATTTGTGCGTGATGCTTCGCAATAGAATTTCAGATTGTGTCGACATTCACTTCTTGGTACTAAGAAATTGATCTCCGGTAAAACAACCTTATACTGTCAATATTGTTGTTAAGTAATTTATGAAGGAATTTTATACCAAGGATAACTCTCCTATTTTCCAAAGATGTCATATCAAATCGTGTCAACAAAATATTATGATCGATGCCCCACGCGGGGTATTGTCCATCAACATTTTCACATAAGTATTTTAGGAAATTCTTCTGCACGCTCTCAATTGATGTTTTTTGGTAGTCGGAAGCGATATGCCGATATCCTCAGTAACTTCTCTGATAGTGATTCGACGATTCTCCATAACAATTGTCTTCACTTTCTTAACATTTCATCGTTGTTGATGTACTGAGGCGTCAGGTCGAGCGTCGTCATTCACATCTTCTGTGAAACGCTTTTTTCACTTGTTAGATTTTTTTTGACTCAGAGTACAATCACCGTATGCCACTGTGAACATAACAGGTGTTTTTGAGCACTTGATTTCATCGTTTATGCAAAATTAGATGCAAATTCTTTGATCAATTTGTTTCACACGAACACGAAAAATACTTGTAACTTTTATGCCTCTCACCAGCATGAACATGTTTAACAGCTAAAACCGTTAACATATGTTCGAGACGAGTGTACCAACAAATAAATGAAAAAAATTGCTAATTGAATGTACGTAGTCCGCGAAATTTGAACATTCACTCCATTTTTTGAACAGCCCACATGTGATTTTGACTTACAATTGTTTGTCATAAACTCCTTCGAGACAGTTCAATAAAAAAGTATACTTCTCTCTCTCTATTTTGGATGGTCGTTGCTTCCTATCTTCAGACGTATATAACCAATGTAGAATTATACTTCATGAAATATTTATTATACATACTATTTTGTTTTCCTGTTTATGACCCTCGAAGTAACTTGTCTTCATATATAGAAGAATGCAAATTAAAGTTTGTGGGGTGAAACTGGATGTGGAACAGCTGATGATGTTTCAAAAGCTGTATCAATTCAATAAGTTCAGGAGAGACTTGAATATAAAGTATTGATCAAATTGGAGTCTTCTCTTATGAAGTGGAAATAATCGAACTGATCGAGTTGATGCTTTCAATTGTGATCATTTATAACTGTGTTGAATATAAATATACAGGAGAATTATTTTTGTATCGACAAATGTGTCACTGCCCAACCAATTCAAAAAACGAATTAGGATCGAATATAACAATGATATTTTTCAACAATATCTCGGACAATACAAGGATTTTCATTTTTACACTCAGGAATGACGTATCGAAGAAAAAAAAATTGGAGAACTTTTTCATCCTTAATTGAACGGAGAGTTCAGAAATGAATTATGTTTGAGTAAAATCTGTAGACGTATCATTTTATTTTAAAGAAATATTCAAGTCAATTCTCGTACCCACGCCACTGTGAAGTTGAAAATTATTTTTTAACAAAAAATATTAACTTTCATCACCTGTCACTGCTTACAAAATATCACTGATATATCTCAAATGGTTTCGGAAATATTAAATTATTTCCAGTTTTTTCTTGAAAATTTAAAACCTTGTATTTTTGTAGCGAAATATTTTTGAACCATAGTTCATATAGCAGTATCATATAGCATTGAAGAGATTATTGTATATGTACACAAATATGCACTTACTTCTGTGTCTCTTTTCCCCTGACAAACTCATCGTTCTCCCCAGTTCTCCCTTTACTGCTTTCAGAGATTTCAGTATTTCTTCAGGATCTCTGAGCATTCTGGTACAACTACTTCGCCGTCTGTCTCTACTATACGAAGCTGGAGGGGGTACAGCAGGTCTGTCTTGATCCTGTTGTTCCTGCGCAGATTGGAATGACGATCGCCTTGAACCAGGAAGAGACCTAGAGAAGTCCTTTCCTAGTTCATAGACTTCAACTTCCAGCTGTTCCGATTGAGACGATCCTCTTCTGGAACCCCAAGCATGGTCAGGGTGGAGAAGGCTAGCGCATTCTCCGATGGAGTCTACGTCATCAGAAACACTTCTCTGATTGCCAAAATCGCTTCTTTTTCCTGTTCCTGCAGCAATGGAGCCTCTGGGAGAGGTGTGCGGTGACTTGCCACGCAACTGCCTAGGGTCTTCTAACCTACAAATTTGTAAAAGTCCTTAGTTTCTATATCAATTTGGAGTACTGTTGATTTCATTTTTTTGCAAGATTTTGTATAGTTTTGGAATGAAAAGACTGTATCAAATTGTGTGCACATCATCGGTGAAGATACAAAACCATTTAAAATGGCAAACGTGAGGGGAAACGTCGTTGACGTCAGTGTTAGTATTAGTTTTGCGAATTGTGTCATAGGTAACATAATTCAATCTTTGAAACTATTCATTACTTGATGAAGTTGGCATATTTTTTAGTCACCTACTGTATTTTTGAAGTGAAAATATAAATTACTAGCTGTTGTCCGCTCTTATATTAACGTACAGCCGAAGCTAATGAATCTCAAAAATTGAAATATGCAGGTAGGTTCTTTGTATAGCGTGAATAAGCATCACGAAAAGGAATCAGGAATTTCCATTCCCAAGGGGGAAAAAGGGGTTCAAAGATTGTATTGATTTTGATCAGTTTTGAAGATGGAAACCTAAAGTTTTGGGTTAATGAAAAAATATTGAAAATATTTGTTTGAAGCTCAATGTAACAAACCAAATTCTACGCTTTCGAAAATGACTAAAATACAGGGGTGTCTTCATCTTAAGCGTGTCACTATATCCAAGATGTCCCTAGGTCCATTCCAGTATTGATGTTTGGTGTGCAAGTATTGAATGAACAACTATTTGACAGTATTTTTTCTATGGCTCATCCTGTGGTATAAAGTATCTATCATCTGTCAATCTGAACATTTTCTTGGATGAACTTGATCTCATGAGTGGGCATAATGTACTAGAGTTGAGACTTCAAAAGAATCAAAAAATATTTTTCATTTTATCGGTGATTGTTTTTTCCATAGCCTGTATATATACATAATTAATCATTTGCTTAGACCTGTAGAGAAACGTGACAGCTTCTGGACACATTGTTTGATGACTAATTGACAGGAACGCATGGTCATCATCCCACTTATTATTTTTTTCTGCTGGCTATTTTAAGAATGGAATTCATGAGAATGTGAATACCTTACAACAGAATCGTGCTAAGAGATTACTTATTTGATCACGACCATGCCTGGGAGTATTTATCGTCTTCGATTCCATTAGTCATGAAAAATTACTGTCGAAATGAAATAATCTTGGTATCAGAGGTCTGGCAAGTGATCTAATCAGAAACAATGAAAGACTACAAATGGTTAAAATAGAGGGTGTACTGAGCGACCAATTATAAATTGAAAACGGAGTTCCCCATGGCACTATTTTGGGGCCAATCCTATTTATATTATATTTGAATGATATATTATCCATTGATATTTCTGAAAAAGTGGTCTCATATGCTGAAGAAACAGTATTAATAATTGATGGAACAACCTGGGAAGATGTAATATCTCATACAAGAAACGATATTGACACCATAGTAAATTGACTTGATGATAGTTTACTGACAATAAATATTGATGAAACATCAATATCCAGTTAACTAGAAGAAAACATAACATAACTTTGAAAAATCCAGTTCAGTAAAATATCTCGGAATACACATTGACCATAATCTTGATTCGAAAATACATATAGACTATTGTGACGAATCTGAAGCCGCACTTGACCAGTACGCCCGCCGACTCATGGAACAAACACATGACATCACCGCGAAAGAATGCAGTCGGGAATCGCCGGTAAAATTCTAGTACCGAACCGATTACAGAATTCTAGAAAGGACCTTTACCGATATAAGCACGTCTTCCCGATCCAAGAGGGCAGTTCAGAAAGTGAATCGAGCGGCTAAACAAAATATTCAAATAGTGGAAATAAATTGAGCGTCAGTTACTAAGTGTTGTAATGAATAAATTAGTTAGTGATTAGTGAAATATTGTTGGAAATAAATTTGTTCAAGACAGTCCTTCAATTTGTCACATTATCTTTGTAAAAGACTCAGAGCCCTTTCGTATGTTTTTCGAACACTTAAAAATATACTGAGTATCAATGATTTGCGCAGTATATATTTTTCATTATTTCACTCTCAATGTATGGAAATCTAGGATGGGGTGGGGTCTATAGTACAACTATACAACTGCTTATGTTACTACAGAAACGATTTCTCAAAATTATCTGTAATTTGAATTTTCGTTTCCCATCGGCACAAATATTCCAATATTGTGATTTGATGAGTTCAAGATATCTTTATTTCAAACAATTATTATTATTTATATTTCACAATAGAAATGAGTTACAAAATCATCAACTTGGATATGAAACCCGACTCAAAGCGAGTAACCTAGATATACCGAAAATGAACAAAGCTATTGGACAAAGATCAATTACATACATTGGACCCAAATTATTCAATCTTGCTCCAGATCACATAGAAACGTAATATTTTAATTGCCCATTTTTCTATTGTATGCTTTTATAAATACAGGTAATTTGGTGATTAATAAACTGCTACTACTACTTACTGAGAATGAATGAATGCTTTTTCAAAATGAATGAATAAATAATAACCATCTTTCCCAAAAAATCTCCTTAATTTAAACTGTATAATGAGGATGTACGATGCTTCTGAAAAATTTTTTATAGCCGATTGCGTTTTGAATATCATTAATCCATATTTCATGAGAAGTAATTTGTGATTTTTCATAATAAGCTGATAATATATAGATGATTGCGAACCTTCAAGATAAATGTAACTATATAAGTATCTCACCTACACCACACCGCTCTATCATCCAGGAATGCCTTTTGTATATCTACTGAGCATTCACCTAGGAAAGCATGTTCGTTGTGTGGGATTAGATCCCACAAAGTGATTTCCAGGACCCTCTCCATCAGCTCATCTCCTGGTACACCTGGAAAGCTGAGGTTGGCGTTCCATATGGGGTTTTGGCTTGCAGGGGCTACTTCCGTTTGTACACAATGCTCTTCAGCGCTAAAATAGCAGAAAATGTAAGACGAGTGAACTTTCTATTTTGAAAAATATGACGTTACAGAAACAACGCGTTTCATGAAATGGAAAAAATGATTAACAGTTTTACAGAAGGATTTGAATGATAATATCATCTAGAATCAACAGATGAAACATTTTGATGCATTAGTCTATCAAATCTTGTATTTATTACTTACGTTAGCGGCAATAAACACAATCTAGCATATGCTTCTGGAAGTGATCCAAAACCCAAGCTGTCATCTCGGGCTGCCAAATCGTCGGCAGCAAGAACTGCCACGACCAATTCTTTCCTTTCGTCATGGTACCACACTTGAATTTGAATTCTGCCGGAAACACAACGTTCTCTGGCAAGTTGTTCCTACGGAAAAAATCAGTGACTGGAAGATTTATCGACTGGGTTTGTTATCGAATTCATAATTGACTTATTTTTGAATTAGCGACACTCGAATTTTCTTTAAATAATTTGATTTTTTTACATATCATGTTATGAACGCGAATGCCTAGGCTCTTTTTAATTTTTTTTTTCAATAATTGTAGACGAAGTTGAATTACCATTGCTGCCATCAGAATGCAAGTTCTGAAAGAAGTGTTTTGGCTTTCTACTTCTCCATCTTTATAGGAAAAAAATTTGGTTTCGAAATAACTACTTACATATTATTACATTGAATTATATGGTAGAAAAATTACTCAGAACAACTACTTTTTTATGAACATCGAATTATTCATTTTCAAATAAATTGCTTTCTTCTTTTTCTTGGAATATTCCCACAAATTTTTGTTTGAACAAAGATACACAAGTGAAAAGCCGAAACCTTTTTTTACAAAAATTATTCTTTCATTCAGGACCATTTCCTAAATTTCAGCTTTGAAGATCCATCTATTTGTGCTTCTGAAGTCACGGAAGTTATTCTATCATCCATGAAACGAACTTCTAACGGCAAACCTTGGTTCAATATGTCCCAAAAGAAAAACTGTTGTAAACAAGGGCATTAATAATAACTGGATTTCTGACGACATTGCACAGGAAGGAAAATATCTAAGAGATATGTTCCATGTAATAACAACTGATCGAGAAGTTGACTCTAGTAATATGGCTGCATACAAATCTAGGCTGAAATAACACAAGAATAACTTTAAGCAAAAAAAGATTAGTTACTTTTCCACTGAAATTGACAATGCCAGTAACAAAACTAAAGAAACTTGAAATATAGTAAACAAAGAAAGTATTATGCTGATAATGTTATCACTCTCCATCATGAATCAGTTGTGATTAAACACCATTCTGCTGTAGCAGACCTATTTGCCCATCATTTTGCAAATTCTGCTAAAACGGCTATTTCCACACACTTAGGTCAAAATGTAACATTACCTTGTACAATCAGTACGAATATTGTACACTCATTTGAGACTGGACCGATTACTGAAGCTGAAATTCATGCTGTATTGATAATAATGAATAATACAAATTCGAGTGGATCAGATGACAGTTGTTAAAGAAATATTCGACCTTATGTATCTCCTCTCATTTATCTAATGAATCAATCCTACATGTTAGGCTACTTTCCAGAAGAGTTCAAGAAAGCCTTAGTCATTTCTCTTTTTAAAAAAGGAAATAGAAATGACCTGAATAACTACCGAAAAATTTCATTACTTTGTTTTCTTTCGAAATTGTATGAAAAAGTGGTGGCTACTAGAATAGTGAATTATTTAGAGTCAAATAATATACTATGTAACAATCAACATGCATTTAGGAAAGATCGTTCCATATAAACCGCTGCCTATGATTATCCCAATAACATATACTCCGAAGTTGATTCCAATAGTTTTGTGATTAGTATTTTTTTTTATCTGTCAATGGTATTTGACACTGTTTCATCAGATTTTCTATATATAAAGTTAGAATGGCTTGGACATGATGTGACATTAGAAGTTCCTCAGGGATCAGTACTGGGACCTGATCTCTCAGAACATGTTGCCACACAACTACGTTTGCAGATGATACCACAATGACAATCACTGGGTCTACACTGGAAGATGTATTAACAAGAGTCGAATAGGTTATTGATAGATTCACGTCATGGTGTGAATGTAATCACTTGATATTAAATACCTCCAAATCTGTTTCGATGAAATTTTATAACAGAAAAAATAACATTTCAGATGGAGTAGATATTAATGATGAAATAGCGATGTCACATGATGTTAAATTTCTAGGAACCATGTTAGATAAATCTTCAAATTGGGATCAACATATCGATGGGGTTTGTAAGAAACTTAATGTAGCATTCTTTGCGATTAAGCAGATGAAATTGCTTGTAGATGAAAAAATCTCTTATGTATATATTTTGAAATGGCATTTCCGCATATTTCCTTGAATATAATGTCATGGGGATGTGGTAGAGATCTTGATAGAATATTTGTTGCCCAAAAGCGCATTATAAGACTGATTTTTGATATGGATTATCGTGATAGCTGCAAACCTATTCTTGTAAGGAAAAATATATTATCAGTTCCATGTATATATATTCAAATGTGTGACTTATGTAAGAAATAATCTTGCATCTCTTGAAACGAATGCTTCTTTTCTTAATTATCATTCACGTCATGGTGGTATGTTGAAAATACCCTCGCACAAATCAAATAAATTTAAAAATTCTTCAATATACAATGCTATTTCACTTTACAATACATTACCTGATTCAATCAAGGAGTCAAAATCATATGAAATCTTTAAGAATAATACGAAACTATTCTTAATGAAAAATGTTTTTATAGTTTAAAAGACTATTGGAGTGATATTTCCTGGAAATAATTCCCAATGTAATATAATATGTGTATTTGTTTTTAAATTGTAACATTTATATATTAGGTTCGCCTCTAAAAATCTCGCCTACCGGCAGTGGCGCAAAAATCCCTTTGCAGAAAACCGAACTAGGTTCGTTTATGCTCGCAATAGAGCAAACTTAGGATGAATGAAAGCAAAGAACTTCACAATCAAAGAATTAGGGATGAACTGCTTGCCAATCCTAACTGGTCTATATCCTTCTGGTCAGTAGCTAAAGTTGTTAATCAAAACTTTACAAAATCTGTAATTTCGCCATTAACAAATGCGGATGGTTCAATTGCAACAACAGCTTCAGAAATTAAACTGAAATATACTGAAACAGCTCAATATCAACAAGGCGTCTGGTCCTGATGAATTGCTCGTCATCGTACTTGAAAATTGCCCAAATGAACTCGCACCAGTATTTTGCAGACTTTTCAACCTGTCTTACAAGAAAGGATTTTTTTCTTCTTGTTGAAAGAATGCTTGCGTTCAGCCCATTCCCAAAAACGGCAAGAAAAATCTTCCAAATAACTATAGACCAGTCGCTTTGCTATCAGTGATATAAAAAATCAAGGAGAAAGCTGTAAACCACCAGATCCATATTTCAATCGAGAAACATGGAGAGTCAAGAGCTGTAGAGTTTGATATTTCTAAGGTCTTTGACCGTGTGCGGCACACTTGTTTCATCATTCCATTTGGATTTCAGGACATCGGCAGCAGGAGGTTGCATATCTTAATGAGGATCTAGAAGTAATTTCGAATCCAAAAAGATAAATGTCTCAGAACCATATACAATAATATCAGGTCAGACAATCCCACTTTCTGCATCGATAAGTTTGTTGGGCGTTAAAATGGACACCAATATGTCTTGACACAATCATGTAGCTGGAATTGCACAATCCGCTTCTCAAAACCTCGGAACACTTTTCCGAACTGGAAAACTGTACACACCTCAGGAACTTTTGATGCTTTATAGAGCTCAGATCAGACCTTCTCTCGTATCGAGCCCCGCTCATAAGCATATCCTGAAGCTGCTGGATTCTATCCAGAAAAGAGCCATCCGCCTGATTGGAGACGCGTACATCACTTGCAACCTTGATAGTCTGGAACATCAAAGAACGGTTGGAGATTTGTCTCCTTTCTATAGATACTTTCACGGGAAATGTTCGAGTGACTTGGCACATTCATTCCACCAAGAGCGGTACATATCAGAAATTCGCGACGGACTGTGGCTGCTCATCGTTTTGAGGTTCAACTCAGTACACCTCGAACTTCACTGTTACATCTGGAGAACTGCGATTATGTGGAAAGAACTTCCTGAGAACGTTTTTTCAAATGGATTTGATCTCCAGCGATTCAAATCCAACGTGAATCGCTAATNAAATCCCGGAATCATCGCTTGGGCTCCCCTATTATATATATTCCAATGTTCATATAGAAATAGTTGTTTCGAAATATTTTTCTTCCATGTAATTCAATGTTTATATGAAAGTAGTTATTTCAAGAGGGGTTTTTTCCAGTTTGTGTCTGAAAGTCACTCCTCTGTATGATCCACACATCTTCATATAGAGTTTATTTTGAAATTGTTTACTTTCTTCGTTTCTTCGGATGATTTCCATATTTTTTGAAAAATGGAAAAGAAAAAAGTTGAAACCATTTTTCCCAAAAATAAATCTCTTTTAAAAACATACCCCTTTCAGTTTAAATGGTCGTGGGAGCGTTCAGTTCCATGCATATTTGCATTTTATTTCAATTGTGATATTTCATGGGAGTTTTCATTTATTAGTAGCTGTTTATTTTCTTCGTATACATTTGTTTTGAGTTGTTAGTGAACTGATTTCGATGATTAATTCTTTCAAAATGGAGTTTCTTTTGAATAAATTAATCTCCTCCTTCTGTTTATTAATAGTTAAAAACAAATGTTAAATAATTTAACATAATTTCATTATTCCAAAATCAATAACCTACTAATTGATACTTTTTATTTTTCAAATAATTCAAGTTGTCAATTTTCTGTGAATGAATACTTCGAAATCTGTTACTTAAACACTATTTGATTCTCTTGATTTACTTTTTTCAAACCTGTCGACTGACACGTATGATCTATTAATTGATTACAAAATTTTCTCAACACAGGGAAAGATTCGTGGCATACCAAGCAGAACGAACTGAAATATGAAAATATTGGACAAAGGATATTTTGAAAACCAATCTATATATTCAAAATGTTGATTATATGAGCAAACCCTCAAAAAATTCAAATTTAACTTTTTTCGCACGTGATTTTTTTCTTTTCATCAATTACTAGGTTATTAGCCGAGTTCAAAATAATATATTCTGGATATTGCTTTCTTTGAATGGAATATGGGAATGAAAGTATGGAAAGGATAAGTGCATATTCTTCGAGAGCTACTTACCACACCAAAAATAGTCATGGTGCATTTTTCTATACTTTCAGAGTATTGGAAGTATTCTGTATTTTATTCAGAAAAAACCGTTTTCATCATCTCACATGTAGAACACAATATATA